TGGTGGTGCGGGGGACGTAGGTGATGTTGAGGCCCATGAGCTCGAGACCCCACTTGGTGATGCGGCCAGAGGACTCACAGTTGTCGATGATGCCACCAAGGCCACTGGAGGACACCACCATGATATGGTGGCCGTCGTGGTAGTGCGGAGCTTGCGTTTGGTGATGAGCACAACATAGAGGAGTTTCTGGACCTGAGAGTAGCAGGCCTTAGAGTCGGAGAGGACTTCACTAATGAAGTACACTAGCCTCTGCACCATGAGCGTGTGGCCCATTTCTTGCGCTCCACCACTAAGGCCACGCTCACGGTATGCAGCATGGCGGCAGTATATAGGAACGAGGTCTCCCCCTTGGCGGGGGAGGTGAGCACCGGCGGTGAGGTCAGGAAGCTCTTCAGCCGTTCGAGGGCCATTTGAGCCTCCGGTGTCCATTTGAACCACTCAGATTTCTTGAGAAGTTTGTACAGCAGCATGCGTCGCTCTCCGAGCTAGGAGATGAAGTGGCTGAGCACGACTAGGCATCTGGTGAGCTTCTGAACACCCTTGAGGTTCCTGTCCGGTTCCATGCCGAGGATGGCTTCGATGCCGCGCTCGGAAACGATGAACCCAAGCAGATTCTCCGAGGGGACCCAAAAACACACTTCTTGGGGTTTAGTTTGATGTGATTGGCCTTGAGGTTGGAGAAGGTTTCCTTTGGGTCTGCGATCAACTGTGCGGCTCTCCGGGTCTTCACGACGATGTCATCGATGTATACTTCAAAATTCCGGCCGATTTGCTTGTGGAAACATTGCTGCATGCAGCGATGGAAAGTCACCCCAGCGCGTTCTGTAAGCCGAAAGGCATTGAAACATAGCAGAAAGCACCAAAAGAGGGTGATGAAGGGGGTAGCGAGATGGTTGGTGGGCCTCATCACTATGTGGTGGTACACAAAGTACGTGTCTCAGAAAGTAGAGGACCTCGCAATCCATCGTGGAATCAAATCAACCACTAGATCGAACCGAGGAAGGGGAAAGGATCCTTTGGATAGGCCTAGTTGAGGCTTGTGTAGTCGACACACATCCTCCACTTCCCATTCTTCTTATTGACCAGAACAGGGTTGGCAAGCTAGTTAGGTAGTTTGACAACCTTGATGAAGCCCGCGGCTAGGACCCTAGCGTGCTCATCACTGATCACCTTTTGTCTCTCCTCATCAAAGTGGCGGAGGCACCGCTAAATAGGCTTTGCATCCGATTTGATGTTGAGGCAGTGCTCGGCAACCTTTCGAGGGATGTGGGGCATGTTGGAGGGCTTCCTTGTGAAAACATTAGTGTTCTCACACAAGAACAGCGTGAGGGATGCCTCCATCTCAGGAGACATGCTGACACCTATGTGGATAAGCCTATCAAGGTCATGAGGGTCGATTCGAATCATCTAGGTGTTGTCAACCGGGTGGAAGGTGGTCACCGGGGCTCCCCTTCGGGCTGTGGGGGGCCTCCTCTAGTAACTGGTACCGGATCTGGGCAAATTCGGTGTGGACCATCGTCATGGCCATGAGGGCTATGCCTTCTTACTCGCAGAGGTAGGTCCTGGCGGCAGGGGAGGCCACGGTGATGACCCCCCGCGGGGTGGGCATCTTGAGCTTCAGGTAACCATTGTGGGGACGTCCATGAACTTCGCGTAGCATGACCGGCCTAGTAAGGCATGGTAGGGACCTGGGAAATCCACCACCACGAAGGTGAGGACATCCTTCTGGAAGTTGGAGGGTCCCCGAATGTGACCGGAAGCTTGATGCCTCTAAGGGGGTGGCCTGCATCCCTAGGATGATCCCAAAAAAGGGGGGCCTCATTGGGTAGAGGCTTCCCCTTGGGATTCTCATATGGTCCAAGGTGCTGGTGTACAGGATGTTGAGGCCACTACCTCCGTCCAGAGCACCTTCATGAGGCAAGCGCGGCCGATGATGGGATTGATGACGAGCGGGAAGCGGACTAGTGCTTGGCACATGGCCGAGTAGTCACAGAGGTTGAAGGTACCAGACATTTCTAACCAGTTTAGGCACCAAGAAGTTGCTACCCCTACCTTGTTCACCTCCTATAGGATGGGCCATGGCTGGTGCCGAGTTTAAGGGGTCTTGTCCCCCCTGAATATCAATAAACACATCTGCCCATCGCAGAGGAGTACGCCGCGGAGATCCTGGTAGATCTAGCTGGGATCAAGTGGGAGAAAGTCCAAAAACATGCCCCGGGGGCTTGATGGAAGGCACGGCGCCAGGGACTCATTGTTCGCCGGCTCAGCCTCTTTGAGTGAGTGAAGCTAGCCATAGTAGTTAGTGGCAAAGGCTAGGCTCCCAAAGATGAGAACCTGGCCAGGGGTGAAGACACCGGCTGTGATGAAGAACTCACTAGGGAAGTGGATGCCATCTTCTGGGTGGCACCGCATGCTCCGGCAACGAGACAGGTGGCTCTGGCCATCATAGATCCTTTCTCACACTTGACGCACTCCCCTACCTGGCGTGCGAGTTGTCACGCATTGGTTGTCGTGGCAAGCATTGTTGTTTGTTGGATCCCAATTAGAATGGGTCTCCAGTGGCTCAGTGGACTCAAGAACACAAGAGAAGACATGGTGATGTATCCTAGTTCAGGCTATCAGAGCCCTAAATCTAGCAGTGGTTGTTCTTTGTCTTCGAGAGCACCCAAATCGAGGCATTACAACAAAGAAGAAAGAGATTTGACAGGGGCTTGCTTTTGTGCTATCCTAGGCTTGTCAGTGGTGAGGTTGGTTTCCCCTAAGAGGGAGAACACTTTGCTCTCTCACGGGATTGCCATGGGGAGGAACGCTGGGTCGTTCCTCTCTACTTACTCTGCCTCTGGGCCGAGCTTGGAAGAGTTGCTATATTTTGTTGCCCCTTGACCTGTTTGGTCTCATCCTCCCCCTTTCCATATGATCCGACCTCCCCCTCAGAGAGCGTGGAAGCTCGGGTACAAGGTGATTCGGGGGTTCTGAGTCTATGGTCTACATGCGTTGGAGTCTAGGAGGGTGCTAATACGGCGTGGATGGACTCCGACATTATTGTCGTCGAGCCGGGGCGGCCTTGGGCGCCACTGGATCTTCTGGCCCTGATGCTTTGACAGTCTGGGGCTATCGGCTCGGACCGGTCTCCACCGAGTGATCCTTCTCGAGGCTTCCATGGAGGTGGAGGCGCTTGGCCTGCGGTGCTGACGAGCGGGCCTAGGAACCCCCTGCCCCTGGAGCCAGCGCCGGGGCCTGTCTTCTTGTGTCACGCCACCCGCGTGACTTTGTTGGAGTGGGCAACAGCATCGCGCACCCGTCGGTTGTGGCGACGCTGAGGAGCTCCCGAGCCATTGACACTCGGCCGGCTGAGTGGTGATGCCTAGGGCTTTGGATCCTTGCCTAGGCGCTTGCTAGGGCCAAGGGCAAGCTCGGGGATCAGGCTTGGTCTACCATCGGTCAGGAGCCTAGGGCCTTAGCGAGCACTGAGCAGAGGCTAGGAGGTTGTCGGGGATCAGATTTATTGCGAGCGTACCCAATGGGCGTAGCCCCCGAACCCCCGACCGATGATCCCACCAACACTTGACATACCCCTATATTTGACTCTCGTCACAAGGTTTTAAAAAATAGAAAATATTTCAAAGCTTTTAAAATTTCCAAATAATTCTGAAGATACATTGGGATACCACAATACTATAAAATATTTAGAGCTCGAAAGGTAACTCTAGAAACTTAAAATTAGTTTTAGCTATAGAGAAAACAGAAAATTATCCATAAAAATATAAAAAATCATACAACATTCTAGTTTATATGTAAACATGTTTTGAAAAACTTTTCTCAACAATAAACATGATATGCAACCAGCATGAATGCATAGCATGAAATCATTCAACATTAATGTATTTTGCATTGATGCTGGTTGCATCTCATATTTTTACTGTGCAAAGTTTTGAAAACTTGTTTTTGATTAATTAGTATTTTTGAGAATTTTCTAGATATTTTCCAATTTTTGCAAAGCTAAAACTTTGCTTTTTGAAGTTTATAAAGATGTTATTATGATCTCTCAATATTTTATTCAGATCTGTCCCAAATGTATTTATGGATTTTTTTAAAAAAATGTAAGTTTAGAGACATTTTCTATGTTTTTAAATAAATTGCTTATTTGCAGAATTATTTTTAGATTAAAAAAGATAAAACTGCATTCAAAACCACTCCAAACCAAACAAAGAGGTAATTTGAAAGGTTTTGAGAGTTCAGGGGTGAAGATGTCTGGTTTTAAAGTTCAAGGAGGAAAATCTTACCACCGCAATAATTCTGGGAGATAGGGGACTTTTTACATGAAAAAAAATCCGGTTCACTTTGGCTCAAGCCGACATACCAGTAGCATTTGAGCGTGCAGAACACCTAGCCCAACAGTGGGAACCGTCCAACACATAAAAACTCGACTTGTTTGACCTCGCTCATCCCCAACTGTTTATCCCCACATGCTACTACTAATGGCTGACATTCCAAAACGAGGCTGTTACCGACCCTTGGCAGTCGCCCCCGTCAACCATTGGAGTAGGGGGCGTAGGTCTACGCCCAAAGTTTTCTCCCCAGTCCTGTTCCCATCCGGTAGAGCCATGACCATTAGCCTTTTGTTAGGGAGAACAAACTGCCCCAACGTCGTTGGTATCAGGCAACATGGTGCACAATAGTCCGATTGATTCATGGGTGATCTCGCGTGCAAAGGAGTTCTTGGTCAGGTTTTGCATAATTCGACCAAACCCAAGGAATCACCAGGCTTATTTTGAAAGTACCAAACTCAGCATGATCTGAAATAATTTTGTCGTAACCAAAACATTTTATTATAATTGGATGGAACAAAAGTATAGGAAAGATGCACAATCATTTTATTGTAATTGGATTGAAACAGGTCATGGATAAAGTACATGCAAGAGCTAGCCATGTGGTATTGTCTGCCTCCATGTAACCACGCTATCCATCGTTGGTGACAATCTAAATCCTATATATTAAATTCAAACAAAAGTTCCATTATCGTGCTCTGCATCAGCTAATCCCATGACTTTGGTGGTAAGCGATAGATGCTGCTTGGCAGAACACTCACACTGGCAAATATTTGGCTTCCCACAATGGGAGTTCTTTGCCACTAGATGAGACGTATTGGCATACTCCAAGCATTTTGTTTGGCAACGCGCTTCAGTGCATCCAGGTAGAGGGATATTCGCCATTACTGCATGCATCCACAACTTTATTTTATAAACCATGCACGAGTGGAATTATTTTAAGTACAAAACAAGTTATATACATACGCCAACCATCAGCGCTGGATAAGAGGGTTGGAGACATAATCATCAGGACAATGCACAGAGCAGCGCACTCGGTCCTCATTGTCTTGCTGAGTACGAGTGGCAAGTGGGGAAGATCAGTATTGGTGGTATATTTGTTGAACTTGTGTTCTGGTATGCATATTGCCTTGTTCGGTCCGGTTTATATACATGCAGTGGCACATCTTAAGGTTGATATATCTATCTACAATGGGGATATATGTATACATGCAGCTGTACATCTTAATATATAATTTGTATCCACAATAGAGATATATATGGATACAAGCAGTGGCACATCTTAATATTCATATATGTATCCGTTATAGAGATAAACATGTATACCTGCAGTGGCACATATTAATGTAGATATATGTACCCACAACAGATATATAAGTGCCATCATATATATTAATGTTGAACTATCTTGCCAGTATGATTTGATATCTTCTACCAATGAATAAACAAATGTGACACATCTTAGATCTTGATTTTACACAACTTGAACCCTCCATATTAAAGATGAGGTGTCTCCATTATAAGTTTCACATCAGGAAAGGTTTATATTTGTCAGTACACAGGAAGTGTTGGTGGAAGGATATGCAGTCAAAGGTGTAGTCCCAAAGTACATATGACCCATATGCTCTCCCTTAAGGGCTGTGTACGCTCTCCCAACCTATAAATTTAAGATAGTGAAAGGTCCTAATGGCTAGAGGGGGTGAATAGCCTATTAAAATTTCTACAACAACACTTAGCAAACCGGTTAGACAAATATTAGGTGAGGCGAGTGTTGCGCTAGCCTACTAAAAATGCAAGTCACCTACCACAATTTTAGTTTCTATAGTCACAATTCACACAATGGCTATATCACTACACTAAGTTTGTGTGCTCTCAAAGGCTAACTAAAGAACCACACTAACCAAACTAACAAGCTCTCACAACTAGCTACAGTAAAGAGCTTGACAACTAGTTTGCGGTAATGTAAAGAGAATGAGCAAGATGGTTATACCGACGAGTCGAGGAATAAACCAATCAATCACAAGAATGAATACCAATGAAGACCAATCACCTCAGAATCAAATGATGACACAATGATTTTTTATCGAGGTTCACTTGCTTGCCGGCAAGCTAGTCCTCATTGTGGCGATTCACTCACTTGGAGGTTCATGCGCTAATTGGCATCACACGCCAAACCCTCAATAGGGTGCCAAACAACCAACACAAGATGAGGATCACACAAGCCACGAGCAATTTACTAGAGTACCTTTTGGCTCTCCACCAGGAAAAGGTCACAAACCCCTCATAATCACCACGATCGGAGCTGGAGACCATCACCAACCTCCGCTCGACGATCCTCGTTGCTCCAAGCCGTCTAGGTGGCGGCAACCACTAAGAGTAACGAGTGAATCCCGCAACGAAACACGAACATCAAGTGCCTCTAGATTTAAACACTCAAGCAATGCACTTGGATTCACTCCCAATCTCACAAAGATGATGAATCAATGATAGAGATGAGTGGGAGGGCTTTAGCTAAGCTCACAAGGTTGCTATGTCAATGCAAATGGCCAAGAGAGAGAGCTTGAACCAGCCATGGGGCTTAAATAGAGAGCCCCCACGAATAGAGCCGTTGGCTCTCTATTCACTGAAAAATCGGGGCGACCGGACGCAGGACCCCAGCATCTAGTCGCGCGATGCATGTCACGTGGCCCCTGCTTCAAATGCTGATCACCCGATCTCAATGGTCATCAGTGCACTTCAGTTGTGATCGGACGCTCTATAGTGTAGGACCGGACATAGGACCCTAGCGTCCGGTCACTTTCAGTAAGGTTCCAGTCGCGACCGGACGTGTCAGTTTGATCATGACTGGAGGCAGGACCCCAGCATCCGGTCACTTCTAGTAAGGTTCCAGCCGCGACCGGATGTGTCAGTTTGATCATGACCGGACGCAGGATGCCAGCGTCCGATCACTTCCAGTAAGGTTCCAGTCACGACCGGATGCATCCGGTCACGCCCGACCGGACTCGCCCAGCGTCCAATAACTTACCCTCTTCTCTGTGCGCCACAACATCAGTAGGACTGGATGCTGAACAGTGTTCATCCAGAGTCCGGTCGCCTACGTCCGATCAAGAGACTGAGGGCGGCCTTCACTGCGCGCCACTGACCGGACGCAGGACCCCAATGTCCGGTCACTACGTGACCAGTGTCCGGTGCACTCTATGAAACCCTATCTTTTCTGTATAGGGCGCTGGTGGCACCATCGGACACTCCGCCGGTAAAGTTTCGAACCCTCACTCCCAAGTGCTAAACACAATGTGTATCACCTTTGTGCATGTATGTTAGCATATTTTCACAAACATTTTCAAGGGTGTTAGCACTCCACTAGATCCTAAATGCATATGCAATAAGTTAGAGCATCTAGTGGCACTTTGACAACTATATTTCGATACGAGTTTCACCGCTCTTAATAGTACGGCTATCAAACCTAAATGTGATCACACTTGCTAAGTATCTTGATCACCGAAACAAAATGGCTCTTACCACTTATACCTTTGCCTTGAGCCTTTTATTTTTCTCTTTCTTCTTTTCAAGTCCAAGCACTTGATCATCACCATGGCATCACCATCATCATGTCATGATCTTCAATTGCTCCACCACTTGGAATGTGCCACCTATCTCATAATCACTTTGATAAACTAGGTTAGCACTTAGGGGTTCATCAATTCACCAAAACCAAACTAGAGCTTTCAAATAGGCTTATATGTGAACTTAGGAAAGTGGTGGAATGTCATATTCCAAGACAAATAGCATAATCCATTAAGTATATTCCAATTCATCCAAAATGAAAGGATCCAAATGGCACCTCAGTGTAATTCAAGTCATACTTACTTTCGAAAAATGGACAAAATGAATGTATGCACCTCAAAATTTGACAAATCCTTACATTTACCACAAGTTAAGAAAATGTGAGGTTTCAGAAATTTTTGAAATACTTCACTGTTTTGTATAGCTAAATGAATTTGCACATTAGTTGAAACAAATTCCAAATTGAACTTTGTGTAGCCCTAATAATATTGAAAACATTACGTAAAAAATATATTTGGGCCCATATGGTCCATTCAATCGTTTGTGGTGGAGATTGATGAAAAATTCAATTGTTGTCTAGGCATAATTCAACCTTGTCTATCTAAAACTTTGCATGGAATCATATTATGGGTGTATATACTTGCCGTCAAATTTTTAAATGATTTCAATGAAGAGTGCTTGCACATCGTTCAAAAAATTGAAACTCCTCAAACTTAGTTCAAGGAAACTCAAGTCAAACTTTGAAGTTTGCACACATTACATCAAATTTGAACCCATATGCACCTCAAACTTTGATAAAACCTTACATTTACTCAAGTTAAGAAAATATTAGGTTTCAAAATTTTTGAAAATGGTTTAATATTGCGACTAACAATCCATCGGGCTCAATTAAACAAGATAAAAAAACCTTGCATATCTAAAACTTTGTACATTGGATGAAGCATTCCAGACCAATTCAATGTTCACTAGTACAGAAAACTTAGCGCGGGCAACTTAGAATGCCCGCTTCGGTTAATCAGTAAAAAAACAAAAAAAACTAGTCCCGACATTGAGCCCAATCCCAGGCCCAATGCCAAGCCCGTTTCCGACAAAGCCACCACTGCCGCTGGTTCCACGTACCACCGCTCCTCGCCGGTCGGAGATGCTCGCCATCATTTGGAGATGCTCACCGCCGCCTAGATCTGCCAGTTCTTTATGCTCGCCATCGCTTGGAGGACATCCACCACACCACTACCACTGCTCCTCGTTAGATCTACGCCCACCGTCACTGCAGGTCGCTGGATACATGCCGTCCTCCACCGGATCTGTGCTCGCAGGCTTGGGAGGGGCGCCACCGCCTCCGTTACTTGGAGGTTCGGGGAGAGGTGCTGCCGCCACTGCTTGGAGTGTGGGGAGGAGCTCCGCCACCACCCTGCGTGGGTGTGTGGGGAGGGGCACCACCGCCGATGCTGCTAGGGTGGGGAGGGGTGCCAACGCCGACCTGCTCGGAGGGTTGGGAGAGGTGCTGCCACCGGATCTGCTCAGAGGAGGAGCGGCGACCTCTGAGCAATCGGTGCTGCCGGAGGAGGTGCGGCCACCAAGCCACGCATAGACGCCGGACTACAGGGGTGAGGGAGAGAGACGCGCAGCTACGGGGGTGAGGGGTGAGGAAGAGAGACGCGTAGCTACCGGCGTGAGGGAGAGAGACGAAAGTGGTTGCGGGATTGCCCAAATGCTAACTTTTGCATATATACACGCTAGCACAGTAGTGGGCTGCCGTAGGTTAGTGGGCTGAGCTTGATTTATGGAGTTGGGTGCCTTATAAATGTCTGCCTCCTTAAATGATTTACCGAGGTGGACATTTTTAATCTCCTCCGTAAATAAAATGCCCGCCTCGGTAAATACATTTTGTTAGACGGTCTGTAAATAAAAACATCTGCCTCTGTAGATCCTCCGGCATTTTACGAGACGGTTGGATTTTGTGACTGCCTCGGCTAATGTTTGGGCAGCAAAATCATTTGTGTAGTAGTGGTTGAAAATCTATACACAGATTTAGGATGACATAAAAAAAAGATAGCATTGGCCATATACACTAATTCATTCATTTAACAGGTACATATATATGTAATAATGTCACTTAACATCATACAAGTCCCAGTTTGAACATATAGCTCATTGATTCATGCGCCCTTGCCTCTTGTCCCGACGGTGGTTCCAGCCGACATCACCACCTAGTGCTTCATAATCTGCCCAAACTATGGACATGGTAACAATAGGTGTTTTCCCAACCATCACTTCTGGTTGGTGCTTCTTCCTCCGTTCCAATGCAAAAGCCTGCCTACTCAGACAGTGATTGACTGCAGCCCATGGCTGACAACCAGCATGAAGACCCTGCCACGATGGTTTCTTGACTTTCCCATCCCAATTGTACATCTTTACATGTGCATTTTTTTTCCAACATCATCAACTGCATAGGGCTACACCCGGTGCTTTCACTCCTTG